CAAATCAAAGGTAATATCCAAGGAAAGCATAAATCCACGGTTACAAGAAAAGCATCACAGAAGTTGTCGGAGTCAATCAAAGGTAACCGACTTTACATTGCTCAACATGTCTCGTATACAACATGTTACATCAAATATATCTAAACATCTAGAACGTCATCTGACTCCATTTGTACCATATCTTCAATAAATAGCATGTGATGAATATAATATTGATAATTATATTGTATTAAAAGACACAAATAATTTATTAATTGAAATTGAAAAAGTAAATAAACACTTCAATGATAACAACATAAATATTAAAAATCTAACATTAATAACCGGAGATATTACATCGCTTTATACAAACATTGACCAAGATGATGGAATAATTACACTAACAAAGTTTATATCTTCATATGCATACCTTACAGACTTTCCATTAAAATTGAAAACATTTGGCATATACTCGATTTAGTATTGAAGAATAATATATTTATCTTTAAAGGTGAATATTATCATCAGATTAAAGGTACAGCGATGGGTACAGCCTTAGCTGCTCCTTATGTCAACATTTATGTATTCTGTAAAGAAGTTATAGCATTAAAGCAATTTTTGAAAAGATATTCATCTCGTATTCTCCTTCGTTTCTTTCGATTTCTCGACGATATTCTTATACTTCTCCTTTCAAATGCTTCATCTATTATTAATGAACTACAAAATCTATTAAATAATGTAAATAGTAATTTAAAATATACATTTGAAACAAGTAACAGGAATATTCAGTTCTTAGATGTAAATATGACTATTAATTCTACATTAAATCGACTAGAAACTTCTTTATACGTCAAACCATCAAATACCTTCCAGTACCTTCAATATTCATCTGCACATCCACGTCACATTTTAAATAATATTCTATTGAGTTTATCTAATAGAATAATTCGTATTTCTTCGTCACCTACAACGAAATGGAATGAATTTTATAATTTATTTACTCGATTATTAGTTCGTGGTCATAATGCAAAAAATATATTACAAAAAATATTATCAATGCAAAATGCCGATAGATTAGAACTTATTAATCGTCCAAAGAAATTAAATGATAAACTACTATATAAAAATAAAATTCTTCCATTTCTTCCACAAATTCCAAATATACGTCAACTATTAGAAAATGAATTTTCAACGACTATTCCTCAAAATTTTCGTTTTGTTCATCGATGTGGTTCTAACCTTAGTAATTTATTAACAAGATCTCGATATCCTCATTCTTTTGCTAATATAGTTCCAGAACCAGATACAAATTCATTAGGATGTTATCGTTGTAAAAATCCACGATGCACAACATGTAATTATATTATAGAACAGAACTTTTTCATATCAACAGTAACAAATCAGATTTATAATATTCCATATTCAGTTAATTGTGATACATCTAATCTAATATATTTAATAACATGTAATTTATGTCATTCTCAATATGTCGGTACAACAGGTCAGACTCTGAGAAATAGATTTAATCACCATCTTACAGCCATAAGACATAAATATTGGCATGATACAACATGTCCAGAACATTTTAATCTGGAAGAATATTCAATTGAAAATTTGACTATAATTATAATTGAAACAAATTTTATTAATGAACAATATAGATTAGATCGAGAACATTCTGACTCTCCTGCGTTAATCATTAGAGAAAGTATTGTGAATGTTAAGAAATTCTCGAGGGAAGAGAGAAGTTCTCGTTCGAGGAGAGAAGTCCTCTCGGGAAGAGGGAGATTCTCGTCGGAAGAGGAAAATTCCCGTCGGAGACGCGAGAAGTTCCTGTTAGACAACAGAGAAATTCTCGTTCGAGGGGAGAACTTCCCTCGGGAAGTGGGAGATTCTTGTGGAGTCTGACTTTGGTGTTTTAATCAGTGGAGAAATTCCTGTCAATGTTAAGTTTTTGTGGGAAGAGAGAGATGCTCGTCCAGTCTGACTTTCCTGCTTTAATCATTAGAGAAATTATTGTGACAGTTAAGAAATTCTCGAGGGAAGAGAGAAATTCTAGTGCTAGGAGATAAGTTCCCTCGGGAAGAGGTAGATTCTCGTGCAGTTTGACTTTCGTGCTTTAATCATTAGAGAAATTATTGTGAATGTTAGGAAAGTCTCGATTGAAGAGAGAAGTTCCTGTGAGAGAAGAGGGAAATTCCTGATAGTCAAGAGAGAAATTCTTGTGGGAGGAGAGAGAATCTCGTCCAGTCTGACTTTTCTGCTTTAATCATTAGAGAAATTATTGCGAATGTTTAGAAATTCTCGAGGGAAGAGAGAATTTCTCGTGCGGGTAGAGAAGTTCCCTCTGGAAGAGGGAGATTCTCGTGCAGTCTGACTTTCGTGCTTTAATCATTAGAGAAATTATTGTGAATGTTAAGAAATTCTCGAGGGAAGAGAGAAATTGCCGTTAGACAAGAGAGAAATTCTCGTGCGAAGAGCGAAGTTCCCGTGGGAAGAGAGTAATTGTCGTGCAGTCTGACTTTCGTGTTTTAATCATTGGAAAAATTCCTGTCAGTGTTAAGAAATTCCAGAGGGAAGAGAGAAATTCTTGTGCGAGGAGGGAAGTTCCCTCGGGAAGAGGGAGATTCTCGTGCAGTCTGACTTTCGTGTTTTAATCATTTGAGAAGTTCCTGTGAATGTTAGGAACTTCTCATGGCAAGAGAGAAATTCCGGTTTGACAAGAGAGAAATTCTGGTGCGATGAGAGAAGTTCTTGTGGGAAGAAAGGGATTCTCGTGCAGTCTGGCTTGCGTGCTTTAATCATTAGAGAAATTCCTGTAGCCGAAGAAAATTACCGTGGGAAGAGAGAAATTCCATGTTGAGAAGAGGCAGATTCTCGTGCGTGCTGAGAACTTCCCGTCAGAGATCAGGGAAGTACCTGCGGACGTAATAGATTCTCGTAGGAAAAGTGAAATTCGTGCTAGACAAGAGAGAAATTCTCGTGCGACGAGAGAAAGCCCGTGGGAAGAGAGAAATTCTCGTGCTGTCTGACTTTCGTGCTTTATCATTCGAGAAATTTCTGTGAATGTTAAGAAATTCTCGTGAGAAGGGGAAATACCGTTAGAGAAGAAGTTCATGTTTTCTTTTTGAAACTCGGTGCTTCCTCAGAAGAAGTTCGTCTTTTCTCCGGGGTAAATCGAGCGTACTTGATGAGAAGTTGATACTTTCTCCCGGACAGACCCTATATTTCTTCACAAGAACTTCATATTCTCTCCTGGAAAACTCGGTGCTTCCTCAGGTGAAGTTCGTCTTTTCCTCGGGGTGAATCGAGGTTATTTGTTGAGAAGTTGATACTTTTTTCCTGGATATACCCGATATTTGTTCGCAAGAACTTCATCTTTTCTCCTAGAAAACTCGGTGCTTCCTCAGAAGAAGTTCATCTTTTCTCGTGAAGAGAAAAAGTGACAGAACAGACAAACAGCCTAAATTCAGTATAAGAAATCGTAGAGAGTGTGGCGACACATAAAAAACTCAAGATGTAATTATAAGAAGCCCGCTGTCGGATTCGCCTTGAAATTCTGCATATACCACCTTAGTTTCATAGAGTTTGGTCCGGCGCGGAGCTTGTACCTAATTTTTGTGATGGTACAGACAGGAATGACTTCTAAAAGAGCTTTCTGCGGTTGTTTTCCGTAGTTCAACGCGTTTGTGCGTGTCTTTGATAGATATTTTGACTAGCTCAATTTGTAGAGAATTTCATGAGCTATCCAATGGTATATTTTTAAAAAATATATAATCTTTCATTATGACAGAAACAATGACTGAAGGAGTATTCTGGACCTGTTTTTCGTACTCTAACGCTTCTTTTATATTATATTTGATATAGTTTCGCTGGCTGCCTGGTCGGGGCAGAGAATCGTACAAGTCAATTGACACTGTCCTCAACACGGACGAAGCTGTAAATTATCCAACAGAATTCTTAAATTCATTCAACCCAAGTGGAATGCCTCTTCACAACATAAGATTAAAAGTTGGTTCAATAATCATGCTGTTGAGGGATCTGGATTCTGCAAGAATGTGCAATGCAACAAGATTAATTGTTAAAAATTTGAGGCCCAACACAACTGAAGCAACAATTTTGACTGGATGTGCTAAAGGAGAGGAAGTTATCATCCCACGAATTCCAATGATCCTAACAAATAAACCATTCCAATTCAAGCGACTACAATTTCCAGTACGTCTTGCATATGCCATGACTATCAACAAAGCTCAGGGACAATCACTTCAAGTATATGTTGCAACATCAAGAGTTGGAAGTAGTAAAAATCTTTATGTTTTAGCACCAGAAAGAAAAATTAGACACATTGTATACAGAAAAGCTTTGGAATAAAATATGAAATAATTAGAAATAAAACCTGTTAATATTAAGACTGTGATCACAAATAAATTATCAAACTTTTTACTACATATTCAATTGTTTCATTCAAATCATAAGCAAAATCATCAACATCAATCCGGGCAACGCCGGGTAAATTTTCTAGTATTAAATAAAATCATTGATAAAGTGATGGATCAGTACGGTGAAAAGTCGTGAGTAAGTTAGACAAGCTCTTTGTTAGCCCTTAAAAATTGTTATCGAATTTAAACGCTATATTTTCAACGTTCTTTAGAGAAATAACAGTTCAAAATACATAGAGGAAATAAAAATTGATTGAGCCTGATTACAGCACAACAGCGTACCTTGCTTACTATAACCAGTTTTTGTTTTCCTTTCTTACACAAATTGAACGGACAGCAGAGCAGATGTCTGTGAATAAAATAGGTTTCCAATTGCTTTACGAAAGACCAAAGATTTTTTTGTCTGGTTATTTTTGTTTGACCAAGTTTAAACTCCTTCGACTGCATGATGTATTTCTTTTCAGTAAGATGCTAATAACTCCTGATCCAAGACAGATGAATACTTTATTTCTAACTAAAATGTATTGTAACTCTCTTCGACCTATTATCTAGGCTTAATGAAGTGACTCCTCGTAGCGGATTTCGCTAAACACACAATATGTTTACGAACAACAGATCCATATAAGCTTCCATTTCTTCTTCACGCAAACAAAAATTCTCAATCCGACAACCAAACAAACAATAGGGACCGAATACATCAGATCACAAAGAAAAGATCCTTCTGTAAAAGTTTCATTTGTAAACTAAATATCTATTCCTTATTATTATTATTCTGCCGTTTTTGTCGTCGCTGCGATATCGTATTATCATTTGTTGAAATATTGATTTCCTCGTCACTAGGCATTCGATTATATTTATTCGTTTCACAAATGGCTGCTTCAACATCATCCCATTGTTCTAACTCCTCCATGAGAACATGTAATGTATTCAATGGTGTTTTTGGAACATGTGTGGTGAATTCAGATAACCACGAACTTTTCAATATTGTCTCAATATTTGGTCTCTTTTCGGATTCTACTGTTAACATAGCTTGTATCAGATTTTTAGCTTCATCCGATACCATACACCAGTCCTCTTCGGGAAACTCATATTCACCGGCACGAATTTTAGTTTTCATACCGGGGCTTATGGGTAAACTGTGTTTTGAATAAAATGGTGGATAGCCGCATAACAGCATGTACATAATGACGCCCAAGCTCCAAATGTCGCAAGTCTAAAAGAAACAGATAAACAATAACCATGTAACTTCGATCTTGTTCAACAAGAAATACCTTATCATAACTTTGTTTGGATAACACTTCCGGTGCGACGTAATATGGAGTGTAACAAGGTGTTGTTAAATTTTTTATTGAATCTGAGCATTCTTTTGCAAAACCAAAATCAGTCAATTTTAATTCCGCCTCTTCCTCATTTGATGTAAATAATAAATTTTCTGGTTTTAAATCACGATGTGCCACGTTCATCGAGTGCAACTGACTAACAGCTTTACATATTGAATGCATAATGCCAGCAGCTTGACGTTCAGTAAACGAACTTTTGTGATCTATACGTTTCATTCGATTAAATAGTTCACCACCCTCCATACATTCCATAACAATCAATAAAGATTGCTGATTTGAATGTTTATTTTCATAAATATCTAGTATACGTACTATATTTGGATATACACTCGCTTTTTTGTGTAAAATAACTTCTCGTCTAGCTTTAGCTGAATCTGGAATAATTTTCAGTGCACATTTGTGTAGTCTTTGCCGATGAAAACACGTTAACACCTTACCATTAATACCGATGCCTAGTACTTCATTTCTCACCTCATAATCATCTGTAACAGCATTTCGTTTTGTTTCAAAGGGAAATGGTGTCAGAGAGACAGTAGATGCAGCCGAATTTGATGTCATAAATTTACCTTTTCGCACACTTTCATGTAAGTTAAATCTGCTATTCACAAGATGTATTGCTTCATTGTGCTCTGCTTAAAACAAACAAATATAAACGATATATTTTTATCGCACAAGGAAAAACAAGACAAAAGAAAGAAAGGAACATTTCAAGGAACGTTTCATTTTATCTTGTAGAATGCTAAAAAATGAAAAAAATGAAAAAAAGAAATTCGCCAAAAAAAACCTGTTTTCGCTGTAGCAGCTCAGACAGGCCATTCTTAATCGACAAAAGTAGATTGCGATTATACGTTTACAGATAATTCCGAAAGAGCACTTCGTATTTAATCGAAATACAAAAACTCAGTCTTCTAGGTATCTGTTTATATCATGAAAAAAAATCAGAAAAACATAGTAAGGCGCTCAAAATTCAAAGTTACAGCGAAATTCTTTTTCTGGCTTAAATATATATCATTCGACGCAGAATTTTATGCTGCATACGAATATCTTACTTTAAAGGTTTTTAGTGCACATTTTTGCCGAAAAAATTTGAAAAATTAAAAACAGTGGTTTTTTCAAAAAATCACAATTTTTCGAAAATTTCGCAATATCTCAGCTCCACAGGGTGGAATCAGTTCGTTGGAATCAGTTCGTGAAACTGCATAAAGAAAAGTGTATCTGAAGGTTCGAGAGTAGCGAGAAGTGCTCCATCTCTCGTCAAACTGTGAAGGTCTTCAATCTCGACACTGTCCGCTTGCAAACCTATCTCCCCCTCAGATCAAGACATAGAACCTTGATGTTTGCGCCAGACGAACCGCCTAGAATCTCGTTTTACGTTTCTAGGCCCTAGAAACATAAAACAAACTGACGTATCCTTTGTATGAAATTGTTTTTTATTCCTGCGAGTTATTAAATTTTTATTGAAAAGATACAGTTTTCACCTAGAAACGACCAAGTCATTTTTGAATAACTTCTTTAGTTTTCGTTAGATATTTTTCTATAATATACTGTTCGATAGGTTAGCTTTTCAAATTCTCTACAAACTGAGCTAGTCAGAATGTCTAGACAGGTGGGTTAAGCCAATGAAGATATGCAAAAGAACCGTTTGGGTGTTATATATTCAGTACTAATCATAAGAACTCCTTTGTTTTTGATTTTTCAGTAAAAGCTGGAACAAATCTGAATATTGTTTTGAATAGTCAGAAGAGTTTTCTAGCACATGAGGCGCATATTGCAATTTAGAAAACAAAGTCTTTGGTTTTTGGTCAGAAAATTTTGCAAACCACATAGCCTGATAGAGCAAAGAATTCTGAGCAAAATAAAATATCTCCCGGCTGTCTACAACGCTTTTTCATCAAACTGCAGCCGGTTTACGAATGCTACAAGGGGGCTGAAAATTACCAAAATATTCCGGTGAAAAAGCGTTGTAGACAGCCCGGAGATATCTTATTTTGTTTAGAATTCTTTGTTCTATCATGCTATATGGTTTGCAAAATTTTCTGACCAAAAACCAAAGGCTTTGTTTTCCAGCGGTCAGGTTTTCCAAAAACCCGATAATTAGGTTGTCTCAAAAAATCAATCAATCAATATTCCAGTTAAAGGAAAGATGTAAATCTTAGTCAGTTCAGTTATTTATGTATGATTAAACGCTTGTCTTATTTATGTGTATGTGCCAGTCACGGTGTATCGTAATTGATTAGCGGGAAATTGATTACCGCCAAATTGATTAGCGCCAAATGAACTAGTGATAAAACCTTTCTGACAAGTTGCTTGTGATGCTCGCTTGCCAAGACAGTTTTCATTATTATTGCATGCCATCACACCATCACTGTAGCAATTTAATGGTGTATTTGTACTGTTACAATAGGAACATTTAATTTCGGTCATTGTGAATGTAATACTTTCGTTTGTACTGACCATATTTTCTATTTCAGAGTTAATATTGTTCACGTTTTTTTCCAGAATTTGTAGATCACTACTTTCACGGACAGTTAGTTTCTTTTGAATTTGTTTTAAACCATTATCTCTTATTAACTGAAAATTTTCAAGGAATTTATTCACTTCGTTTTTGGCCTTTTCGCCATCTCCAAATAATTCATATTTATGAACAACAGCCAACATTTCTTTGTTTAATCGGACTAAATCGGCATAATTAACACATGTATAATTAAGTTTATCGTTAAATATGTCGGGAATAACTGTTAATTCTATTTTATCCTTCCATGTACGAATTATATTAGATGCAGGTTTTTTGCTTTTAAATTCTCTCACATTCAATACTAATTTTTTCTTTTGATCAGGATGTGTAATCTTGTATTCTACTTCTTCTATCTGGCTGTTAGTACTTACAGCATTATCCATTTCTTTAATAATGTCGTCGTTGATTTTAGCAATAGAATCTATCCTATGCATAATACTATCAAGAGTGTCAGATATCTCGTATGCGGACATAGTTACACTTTGACCATCTAAAATAAGATAACAAGCGAGAGATATTACATGGAGTTTATCAAACAGTAGAAATAAAAGATCTTTATTTTCAGATCATGAAATCGCAAGTAACACAAACATGTTTTGAAATTCAAATATGTATATCTCGAGAACAAACAAAGCTACAGATTGGAAATTTTCACCAAATATGTAACTCACGGAGCTCTATAACTGATAAAACGTTCAGGTTTCCAGCTATTTGCGCTTGGGTTTTACACGAGAAATAGAGAACGGTAACGCGCAAACAAAAAAGTCCCTTCATTCCGGTCGGATTTTAATAAACCCAAAATTTCTTTGAATTTCCTAGCGGTATGTAACATCGTATAATATAGCTTTGTAGCTGAAACTTTGAGCTATCTTTTAGTAATAAAATAATCTACTGAACATCCATCCTGAGTAAAGTACAGTCAACTGAATGAGTAACGCACAGACACAAATTTTTTAAAGTAGCTCTGTGCCGCGCGAAGTTCATCTATATCGGAGTATTTATTCATTAAAAACAGTTGATTATAAGTAATCGCTTACGCTGACCAAGATTCTGAGGATTGTTTTCTTAGACAATCACGTCGTTAGTAGTAACAAAGTAACTAGCTAATAAAGTTACCGAGTGACTAGAAAAGTGCCACCCCTACTTGCGTAACTATTTTTGCATAATATTTTTATAATCCAGCCATAAATGGTGCTAGAATATGATTTTGTTGGAATAGCTATCTCAGAGTTGACTAAAACAAGAAGTTTCCGTTGGGTCTTCAGAGTCATAGGCATCACTTATCAACTAACATTTCGAAGGCTTCGCTCAAGTGTCTGCTGGCATTCAGTATGCTAAACAAGTAATTGACGGTAGAATAGGAAATTTTAGGTGTATGTGGATTGTTCCGGATGCCAAACGGAAAAATGCCTGTGCGTTAGCCAGTTTTTAGAGGTAAAGAAAAGGGATGAAGAGAAACCATACGCACATTGAATAGCCTGTCAAAAATTATCCACAGATCTTTGACAAAAGTAAAAAAGGTTGCTTTAATTTGCCATGAGATAAACTGAGAGTCCTTTTCCGTAACATTCAAACATCAAGATGTCGAGGTTTCTCGGTTCATTTTTTCGACATAGAACATTGATCTACAAAATTCTGATGTAGCTACAGAGAAAGCTTGAACATTTTACTACAAAACTCCATATGACACTTCATGTTTATCAGTTACTTTCCTTTTCTGTCATGTGCATTTTGCGCACATGACAGACGCACATGAACGCGTTGCCAAATCCTAGTGGCCGATCAAAATATAGTTTCCTATGCAGAAAAGTGTACTCTACAAAATTGTGCAGTTTATTTCCGAAAAAAGACTACTTCTACTTTCCCCACCTTGGTTGGCCGTTAACCAACTTTCATGAGACTTTTATTCAACACGAAAAAGATGTAGACATTTTTGGCTAAGTAGAAAAAAACAACAGACTAATTCTAAGAATGTATGATAGTGTTTTTATCATAAACTTCAACTTTCACAGTGTTCCTGTTACTCTCTTTTCTACAGAAGGTAGAATTGATGAATGCAATTAGTATATATCTTTTCTATTATTTTTCTTCTACAGTACAAAGTTTTTCTCACCTTAAACACTGTCGTAAATAAAAAAGCAAATGTTGCGCTGATAAGATAATGCACACTGTATGGTTTCTGTGAAGGTAATAGACACATTTTTACGTTCTTTGATGTTATAAACTTTATTGCGATAACAGCCGCTTTAAACATGATATTTTTATTTCAATATTAACGTCAACATGTCGCTCTTTCAAACAGCATTTTCAATACATAGTATGAAAATGAGTCTGACAAGACTCTTTTATAGAATAAGAATGCAACAGCATATTGTCAACTGGAATATTTCAGTGATAAGGCTGTAAAATAACATAACTTCTATTAATAATCCGTACTGTACTAGACGTACAGTTACGCGGTTTAGTGGGCAACTGGCAACTCTTGCCAAACAAATACGACCGCAGCTGCAACGTCAGCTGATCTCTCGACCACCACGATCTGCAGGGCTGTTCTTCTCCCGAAAAGATCGTATACTAAAGGATCCTCAGTCTCGCATAGTCTATATGACTAAATGTTCTGATTGCGATGCACCATACATTGAAAGAACTGTGCGTCAGACTGGAAGACGATTCAAGAAACATGGTGCATCACAACCTTCTTTTCAACTCACCGAGTCTACAGATTTAACGGCTACAACTGGCTGCTCACTACGGCGACAGTTTGAGGGAAATGTCGGTAAAACAGTTGTGTATTTCCCAACATAAGAACTGTTATACGATAGCGATGAAGATAACAGCGAAAATTTGACGGACATTAAATCAGCTCTTCCCAGACACGAACTGGAAACAAATCATAAGATCAATTGAGCAGACTGAAAGGTGACCTCAAAGGATATCGAATACTACCGGCTGTTAGTTCGAGAATCACTTGCAATTCTAGCTCGACAGCCTGAGTTAAATAAAACCCATTCCAGAGACTGAATCAGGTCTTAGGTGGATGACCCGAACCCGACCCGACCCGAAGACTTTTTTTTCTGGATTTACTTATGTTTCCTTTTTTCAACAGGTGTATTGAAAATGCTGTTTGAGACCGCAAAACGTTGACGTTAATATTGAAATAAAAATATCATGTTTAAAGCTGCTGTTATCGCAATAATCTTCTTTGTACAAATTATTACCCCATTATCTTCTGATTACCATGACTTTTCCATAAATCGTACCTCGCTCATACCAAACCAAAACCAAGAATATCGCTAAGGAATACAAAGTATAGAACAAGTATTTTTGATCAAAATGACATGTCTGACACACAGTGGGCATTCAGGCGGACATTAGGCGAAAAAGCGAGGTCGTACTGTTTTCAAAAACAAATAGTGTAAAATGTAGCCCTTCGCACGGGCTATCGAATGGTGTATATATGTCTATTTTGAAATGGACTCCTTCGAGGAGAAAATAGGATACAGAAAATCTATAACGGATATCGCAATACACGACACATATATACAAAACCGTGGTTCTTTACTCACTCAGCTATGCTAAACGATTTGAAAGCACATATTCGGAATCAGTATGTCCTCAGCTATCTACTGGTAACAAAATGTTTTTACGTCGAAACGAAATTCAATAAGTAACAGCTCATGGATTTCTCATCACGTCAGTCCGACATGAAACTACCGCAGTATAGTTGAGTCGCTCTCGTTAGCCCCACGAGAAATTAACATATAAATGCATCAAAATGTTTCCTAGACCATGCTACATCACTGGGATTTTCCCTTTTTTTCCCTTTTTCTTGTAAGTCGAGCTATGAATTTTCCAAAACCCATAATGGGTTTTCAAGTATTTGATGATTTTCTCACTCAGAAGTGCACTTTACTTCAAATATAATGTCATATTCGGAATCAGCGTGAAAAACTGCATCGAATGGTGTATAACTCATCTAGCTTCGGTCACTCGATTTTGAATTCTAGAAATTTCTTAGTTTTTGAGGTTCACACAAACAATTTCCTGCTGAAAATTTGAATTTCAAGATAAAGTAACCTGAACGACTCGAAACATGTTTCTTATAGGTTTTCGACAATGCTCTTTCCAGTAGCATCGTTTTTAAATATTGAGAAAGTTTTCTGAAGGGTTTT